TTGAAGAAGTAATTAATCTTCCATCAGTTGCACGGTCAAAGTTTCTAGCTTGGTTTGAGGCAAATAATCTATTTGAGGAGGCTGCCAACTTGACATATGCTGAATTTCCAACTATGTTTGTTTGGGTAACAAAAACCAGATCCTGGAAAGTACGGGAAAAAGGTTTTGCTATTAGGAGAATTACGTATGTGCCACCTTCTTATATAGAAGCATACCATCTAAGAGTGTTGCTTAACATTTTCAAGTGTCCAAAAAGCTTTGAGGATTTACGCAAGTGAATGGAGTTATTTATCCTAAATTTAAAGATGCATGTTATGCTTTAGGATTGCTTGATGATGATAAAGAGTATATTGAGGCTATTAAGGAAGCAAGTTTATGGGCATCTGGCAAGTTCTTGCGTCGATTATTTGCTATTATTCTGGCTTCTAATTCTGTCACTGCCCCTCAAGATCTTTGGAATTCAACGTGGGAATATCTTACCGAAGATATCTTATACAAGATGAAAAAAAAAACAAAAGAATCAAAGTACATTTCCTAAATGTTTTTTTATATATTTCTATAAATAATTACTCATATTCTAATAGATAAATAAACTTTTCTTACCTTGCAGATTTGATTATGTCTGATATGCAGTTGAAGAATCACGCATTGTTTAAGATAGAGAAATACATGCGTCGAAATGGTAGCACTTTAAAGAATTTTGACACAATGCCTAGACCAGATGATGTTTCATTCGAAAAAGACAAGAATCCTCTGATTCTCGAAGAAAAAAGTTATGATCGTGAAAAGTTACGTGCAGCACATAGAGAAATGTTGAAAACCATCACCGATGAACAAAAGAGTATATATGATTAAATTATTGGAGCAGTGAACAACAATAATGGTGGTATGTTTTTTGTATATGGTTTTGGCGGAACGGGTAAGACTTTTTTATGGAGTAATCTTGGTGCTGCTCTTAGATCTGAAGGCATGATAGTTCTTAACGTTGCATCTAGCGAGATAGCATCATTGCTGTTACAAGGAGGCCGAACTGCACATTCACGATTTGGCTTCCCGATTGCTGTTAATTCAACAACAATGTGCTCAATAAATAGCAATTCACCTCAGACAGATCTGATAAGAGAAGCAAAGCTTATCATATGGGACGAGGCTCCTATGATGAGTAAATATTGTTTTGAAACTCTGGATAGAAGTATGCGTGATATACTCAAAAATGATGACACTTTTGGTGGGAAAGTCATTGTATTTAGAGGAGATTTCAGGCAAATATTGCCTGTTATTGTAGGAGATAATAGCACCCAAACTCTTATGGCTACCATAATTCTTCTACTTTATGGGACAGTTGTACAAATTTAGAACTAACCAAGAATATGAGGCTTCAAAATGGTGCTGGAGGTGATCGCGTTAATGAGCTAGAGGCCTTTTCAAAGTGGATTTTAGATGTAGGAGACGGCAAAATTATTTCGACTGACAACGATGAAGCTGAGATTGAAATCCCTGACGATTTACTAATAAAAGAATGTGCTGATCCTGTTAAAGAGATAGTCAGAGAAGTGTATGGTGATTCATACAGATCGGAAAGAGATCCAACATTTTTTCAAGACAGAGCAATTCTTAGCCCGAGAAATGCAGACGTGGGATTAATAAACGAATACATGTTGTCAGAAATAAAAGGTAAACATATTTAACGCTTTATACATACGATCTTACATTAGCTTCATAATGTGATCAACTAAACTTCGTAAAACATTTTTCTAGGTGAGGAACATACATATTTAAGCTCGGACAGCATCGATACTTCTGATAAGAGCAAGATTGACAAAAAAGTTTACACACAGGAATATCTTAATAGTATTAAGATCTCAGGATTGCCGAACCATGAATTGAAATTGAAAATAGGGACACCTATTATGTTGCTTTAGAATATTGACCCTAGAGGTGGTTTATGCAATGGAACAAGACTCTTGGTAACACAGTTGGCCAAACATGTTATTCAAGCTAGCCACATAACTGGAGAATATATTGGTCAAAAGGTCTTGATCCCACGAATGTTTGTTTCCCCCACAGAGACAAGATTTCCTTTTAGAATGAGGCGTAGACAATTTTCGGTAGCTATCGCCTATGCAATGACTATCAATAAAAGTCAAGGACAGACTTTGCAAAAAGTTGGTCTTTATTTACCAAAACCAGTATTTTCTCATTGACAACTTTATGTGGCTATATCACGTGTTACTTCAAAAGCTGGTTTGAAGATTCTGATAACGGATACAATGGGTCAGCCACAAACCAAGACTTTAAACGTTATATACAAAGCCGTCTTTCAGAATATAAGGAAACTATAATTTTTTTTTTAAAGGTTTAGGGTTTTACTATTTAAATGGTTTATTTAATTATTTATTAAATAACATTTTAGTTTACTTATCATTTTCCTATTAATTATTGTCCTCATTGTTGAAAATTAAATATAAAATAAATAGAATACAAAACAATTAATGGTGTTTGCAGAATTAATGAATCTTTAAAAAAATACAATTATCCAACTAACCAATTTTATGAGTATGAATGCTCTTCCAAAATTAAAAGTTTCTATAATACATTAGCATTTTGATATTATAAAAAAAATAAGTACTAAGCTTTATGGACCTTGTAAACCCGTGCGACGTGCGGGTTTTCACCTAGTTCAAAAATAAAAACATTTGAAGTTTTTAAAATCAAAGTAATTCAAAGAACTTCAAAATATTTTCGAAAGTATTTAAATTCTGATAAGAGAGAAAAGATATTCTCTATTAGCTAATTACTGACTTTTTAATTTTTTTGAGATCCTTAGGAAAGCTTTCAATCCCAAGCTATATCATTGATCTAATTATACACAAAAACATTAGCTCAACTGCTAGCGAACAACATGGAAATAAGATAATAATCAAAAGCGACCAACCTTAAATTTTATGTTCCTTTTTACTTGATTTGGGATTTCAACGATTAAATAATGTAATTACTTAAAAAATATTAAATAGAATTTTGTTTAATATATTTATAATAATATATTGTTTAAATTTCATGATATGAAATTTGAATAAATGTAAATTACAATTACTATTTTTGAAATAATCTTTGCATAATGCTAAATAACGACTCTTCTAAATATTATAATACTTTGCATTATTCATCCACAATTTGTTTATAACATATCTTCCAATTTAGATACGTATTGTTGTCATATTTTTTTTAATCATAATCTGAATTTGATATATATATATATATATATTAAAACCATCTTCACGAGAAATCAATCTCTCCAAAATTACATTTACAAAAGGAAAACAATATATAAATAAAAATAACCCAATCTGATGAGAAAAAAAATGAAAAGTTTGTCATGAAATCCTAATACTACTGTGCATCCACTCCTATATACATGCAAAAGCCCATTTTAGTGGGTGTCTATAAACAACGTTTCAAATGAGAAAAACAATAGCCATTTTAACCGTCAATCTCAATCATGAATATAAACAACATTTTACAAACGCATGTTTGGCTGGATGCATTCAGAGTAGTTTTTTTTCAAATGCCTTTTTTGATGCTACCAATCAGACCCATACTCTGCAGTTTCAAAACTTGCAAAACACATGAAGTTCGCTCAGAAATATCTCTAATAAAAAAATATTTATGAATCCTCTTGTTTCTTTAATTTTTATGTTGATTTTTACTTTTTCTTTGTGTTTGTTTACTTGCATTATGTTTGAGTGCTTATCTAGTTAATTAGATTTGTATGTTAGTGTTTGTTAACGCTTTAGATTTTTAGTATTAATACATCATTTTATTGAGATTAAAAATCTGTTTTAAAAGAATATAGAGCAGAGAAAAGTTTTTATGTAGTGGTTCGAGAGGCAAACCAGAACGTCAATCCCTTGGTAAAGCGTTTGTCACCACTTCTTTGGATTGAACTGAGTCGGTTTCTTATTGGTTTGTCAAGAATTTTGATGAGTTGTTGCGCTGTTGATGGTTGATCAGCACGTCTCCATTAGTTTTTCTCTCGCCAAATATTGTGAATGGTTGCTTGTAACAGATATCTCATAACAAACAATATTGTCATTCGATCCTGTTGGGAATTAGATATGAGCTGGATAAGTGAACTCCAATCTGTCGTAAATTGATGATGGAGAACACCTTGAGCAAGGTTAGACCAGATTTCTGCAAAATATCCACAGGCGAAGAAAAGATGGTTAAGTGTTTCCATGGATTCTGGCATAGGACACATGTGATGTGGTGGATATATTTTGCTAACAAAGGCTGTGATCACTGTGGATTAACGATCATGCGCTGCAAACCAAGTTATGAAAGAGTATTTCGGGGTGGCATTTGGAAACCACACACCACAACACCGTTGTTGTGAAGAATGTGAAGTTCTGATTTGGTTCCAAGCTGTTATCTGATTTTATGTCTCTTTTTATGATGCATATTCGTTTATTTATTATCTCACAAACAAAAGCATAGCTCAAATATGCTTATGAATATTATTAAAATATATTCTCCAGTTTATAATATAAGATAAATTAGAGTTTTTATTTTGTTTCAAAAAATAAAATGTTCTTATATTTCAATGCAAAATTTATATGGATTTGATGTTTATGACTATTTGCATTCAGCTGTCTATTTCATGTTTTTATCAATTGGCTTAAATGTTAAATAATAATTTTCAAAAACAATAATTTTCTTAATCTTTTTTTTTTTCATTCAAATCATCTTATTTATCATCTTATATGTTGAAACGGTGACAAATACCTAAACTAATATCATATTGTATCATGATCCACATTTGAAACCTTTCTTAGATTTTGATCTTGTTCCTATGTACGCTTCGTATAAAATATCTTTTGAGATAAAAAGTTAACATTTAAAGACAATTATACAGACTCAATAAATTGAAAAATGAAGAATACAAGTTTACAACCAAAAACAACTACATCTGGTACAACGTCAGAAATTGAGAACCCTAAACGTCAGAAAAAAAAAAGCGATGAGAAAAAGTCCACTTTGTTTGGTTTTAGACAAAAACAGTAACATACTTTTGGTCAAACTCTGTAAGAGAAGAGAATCAATCTCCCTTGTAAATCTCACCCTCCTGTCACCATCTTCCCTCCGTCACTTTCCACTATTAATTTAATTTCAGAAACCCTACCATATACACCTAAGTTTAGGGTTTCGCTTTTTCAGAGAAAATGCTTCTTTTCTAAAAAAAAAAAATCAATTTATAATCTGGTACGCTACAGTGCACCGAAATCCCATAGATGTATAGTACTCACACCCGTCGATGAAGATGAAGCAACCGCCACATGTCTATCATCGGCAACAATAGCGTCAACTTCTCCTACTCTCTCTCTAAAACTGTACACATACTCTCCTCTCTCTACTTCCCACACGCGCACCACTCCTCCTGCGCACATTAGCGCGTGAAGTCTATTAACACACCCCATCACTCTTCTCTGCGCCGCTCCACTCACACGAAACTCACACACCGTCTCTTGCGTCCTCGTCCTGCGCACGATAGCGTTACCCCTACCGTCCATTCTAACGTACGCCTCATCGTTAGCGTCAAAACCAGTCACTATAAGTCCTCTCCGTTGCTCCTCGTCTTCTCCGATGATCACTCCTTGGTTTCTCAGGTCGATCACCATGATCCTCCACCGTGTACACGCCACCGCCGTCTCACCACCGGAGATTCTAAGCCGGCCAAGAGACGTCGTTAGCTCCGTTAACGTGTGCCATCCCATAACAGCTTCTGGATCGGTTAACGAACCACCGACGAACGTTGTCTCTTCGCTGTTACAATCCCAAATGTGAAAAGCTCGACCCGGGACGCCAGCGAATAGCCCGACCCAGTAACGTCCACAGCCCGTGAAATCAACCAACGCGCCGTCGTTAACTATATCTCCAGCGTAAGCCGTGCGTGTGTGACCCCCAATGCCATCCATTGCCGCCACGTGGATGTCACCGTCCATTGTGGCGAAAACTAGTCTTGAATCGGAGATAACGATGCCTGAAACCGCTCGAGAGAATCTCCCAAACCGGTCACGTAGAGGAGGACGTAGAGTTCTGACGTGGAGACGGTTGTTCAAGAGAAAGAGCCGGACGGTTCCGTCGGCAAATCCGGCGGCTAAATAGCGATCGGAGAGTGTGAGGCAACGGCAAGAGAGACTATCCGGTTCGTCCACGTCAGACGGATCAAAGTTGAGTGTGAAGTGTATATTATTACGCGTCCGGAAGTTCCTAGCCGTCCGATGACGATACATAAACTCTTCTCGCCACGTGTCGTGCATTAAACTTGTTCTTGTCCAAACTTGGCGACATAAGAGTTGCCATAGATGGTCGGAACGCGATACAGCCTGCCACGTGGTGCATACCTGCGCTCATACAAATATAACATATTAAAAATCAACATTACTAAGAACAAAAACTTACTACTAGTAAAAATCTGCATGAAAGATAGTTTACATAGATAAAATTGTAATCAAAGTTTGTTTATATATGATACTGACAATAATAATAAGTTTTTATTATGTATTAGTAAATTGAGGGTATTATTAGCTATTAATTAAATGTAAGAGTGGGGAGTAAAACTACACATAGAAAGAAGATATAAGTAGGCCTGAAACGAAGCATGAAAGACTATATATAGGGACTAGGAAGTATGGAAAGACAACGACAGACTCAGACACAAGCTCTGCGTTTATTTGTCTTTACTAGTACATCGAATATACAACTCAGTACTAAATTATTTATAATATGTTACCAATTTGACGCGACTAATCAATCTCTGCAGGCTACGGATTTTACAACAGAAGCCCTAGTAAAAGGAATAACGAGAGTCTCATGTCAATGAAAAACAAATCATATGGTGTTTTCTTTTTTGAAACTATATAATTTATTAGAGGACAGATGAAGATATTAAATGAGAGGAAGTAGCAGAGTTGAGCTGAACATGAGATTACGACTTAGCCAACAAGCGTGCCCTTCTCTCTTTCATTTCCAAGAAAGGTAAAGCTTTAAGCCTTTGTCTTGTTAAAAGTAGAGCTTCCCATAAATACACAAATTTTTTACACTTATATTTATGTATATATATGTTTCTCTCTCATCTCTCTCTCTCTCCAAGAATCCGTGGACCTACGTTCTCCACATTTACGTACATATACCATAATTTATTTGTCTATTCTAGTCTTTGATTTAACGGAATGTATTGTATTTGACTTTGTATCCTACGCTTAAAAACTCATGTAAAAAAATATATAAAAATATATGTACATGCTTGCGAAGCCAAAGGTTAACGTCTCTTTAACAGATAAGACAACAATAATCTAGGGCACGAATCACGATCACATTTATCATATTAGACAATTGGAAGATATTCTATAAGGTTATCTCGTTTAGGTTGAAATGCTACAACAAATCGAACCTAAGGTATCACATGTCAATATATGTATAATGGTTTTGATCAGTCAACTTGAAGAATGGCAGAAGTAGTATAATAATAAGTAAACTAACTATAATATATAAAATTCACTATTACTCTGCAAAGTGCAAACTACCAATCAAAAATCAATATTCCTGATTTCTAAGATGAGCACATTTGGAAAATCATTTTTGCAGTATAACATAATATAATCTAAGAGCAGCACGTGCTCTAAGAGACCCTGAACATTGGGTTCCATGTGCTATTTGGCATATGCATAGTGCCCATACTGTCGTCTCTTTTGACTGGAAATATTAAGGAAAGAAACCCACTTCGATGGAAAAAAGATGGAACCATGATCAAAAATTGAAAGTGAAAAATACAACAATGAAAATTCTATTTATACCCATAAATCTCTGACAAAAGTGTTATGCTGTAAATCACACTGCAGTTTCTTGATATATATTTTAATGCTAATTTGAATATTCATTTTATTTGAAAATAACCATAGAAAAATACAGTAATATTTACATAAATAGAGAGAGAAGAAAAAAAGAGAATGAGAAGTTGTCAGAAGCTCTGCATGCATTACTCACTGGATCATAATATTGGCAGAGAAAGAAAATAAAATAACAAAAGCACGACGCAAAAAATGTACATATGTACTCATATGCTATTCCTTGTTACTAAATATGAGAACAAACCTAAACATTATATATATATATATATTTGATGTGCAAAAAGGCAGAAATTTCATATATGACAAAGGATTATTGAAAAGAATAATGTGCGGTTCATGTACATGTTGATGAATATAGTTTACAAGTATGCATATTATAACCTAATGTGGTAATATAAGACTAACATTGGCAAGGCAAAAAGACGAGACCTTACTTAGGTTTCTTTTCCATTCTCTTTTCAGATGTTCTTAAATGTGCAACGACATTTTCTAGTTTTATGAGTCTGTCGTCGTGAGAGGTCACTTTCTAAGATATTTATTTTCAGTTTTTTCTTAAAGATAAATACCGCTATAAATAGATCTATAAATAAATATTAAATGTATTGAGCATTGGATTAAAGACTGTGCTTAATGTCTATCAACAATTTTAGGAGTCAAGAAAGTGCTTACAATTGATTATTGTTGTAAGGACTTTTGAGTCAAAAAGTGGATTTCTTGATCTTAAAAAAAAAGGGTTTTTCTTCATGCCAAGAAAGGAAGATCTTAAAGCCAACAATTAAAAAAACACCGTGATTTTGTGCCCTAAGGGATCCAATCCATATAATAATAATAATATTAGAGTTTTTACATGTCCCAATTTCACAAATATACACAAACGAAATGGGGTTGTATGGTCTCCTTTGTGGATCCAAAAATAGACATGAAAAGGTATCAAAAGTTGACGAGAGAACAAAGCAAAAAAAAAAAAAAAAAACTTATTGGGTAAATAATGGAAGACAAAAAGTTTATAAAACGAAAAAAGAAATACAAAGCCCCAAAACCATATGATATGTGAAAGGGACATCAAATTAATGTCGTCTTGTTAGACATAAAAGTTGGACTTGGACCCATCATAACAACACAGAAAGGGCGGTTACCTTTCCGAAGGTCAGTTTTTTTTTTTTTTTTTTGTCTCTTCATAATCCCACCCCTTATAAACTACTTTGACACTCAATGTAACATTCAATCACTTAATTATGACTTTATGATCTGGAACAAGAAAAAAATTTCAATACACCAAAAAGCAAGATATGCAAAATCAAATCTAAGCTTATAGAAACAACAACAACTTAAGTACAAGACTTGTAACAAATAGTACATTTGACTAGACCAAGATTATGTCCTTCCTATGAAGTTATAGACCCACATCTACTTTGACTTTGTTTTTGTCTTTCTTAGATCTATGTGGCGACTTTTAATTCAAGCTCAAATATAATAAACGGACTCAGATAGTGTCATTTACTCTAATAAAACGAATATATGAATGTATTTCGAACGTTACGAAAAATTAGAGATTTTGAGAGCTGACCCGAAAAACGTTGGCAAGAGCCGGTGCTGCGGAGAGGAGACCGGAGGATAAAGAAGCGTCAACGGCGACTTGAACGGCGAGAGATTCGAGGAAAGGCTCAGGCCAGACGTCGTTGGCGCCGTAGCGAGGACGAGATGGAGATGGGGCTTCGAAAACGCCGCCGGTTCTACGTGCGCCGAAGGTAGAACCACCGCCGGAATCTCCGTTTTCTGAAGAAGAAGAGGAGGAAGACATGGAAAGTTTATAAGAAGAAGCACAGAGCAAGAAGAAGAAGAAAGAATGGTGGGGGAGAGAGGAAACAAAGGACAAAAAGTGTAGATAAAGACACACTTCTACGAGGTGGGGGACCCAGGTTGTGGAGGTATGTTTTTTTCTCTGTATATTTTTTATTTTATTTTTCTTTGTTTTTCTATCGTTAATTAATTTTAAATGAGGCAAAAACCATATAGGAAAAAGGAGTAAAAAACAAATAAATCAAGGTACTGGTTTTAATCAGCGGATTTCAAAACAGTAATTCATTCTTTCTTTTCCTAGCTTTTTTGGGAAAAGCGAGATATTAATTTTTTTTAGTATTAAAATTACCAAAAAATAATGTATAAGAAAACGTTAGGCGGTAAACGGATGTCTTTTTGGGTAAAAGCGAATAAAGTTATTCTTTTTTCCCCCAAATGGGGTTATATTACCAAAATAGAGGTTTGGAAATGAACATGTACAAAAACGACCTATGATGATCCAGTGAGGACTTAAACGAAATATATGTCAATAATGTCTCAAGAGCTGCTTACAAAGATAAAAGGAAATCTTATACAAAAGTCCTAGCTTTCTCACTAACAAAGATATCCTCATGCTATGTATAAGGGTTTGTGCAATTCGCCACTGTAACACTTTGATTAATGAGATAGCTCCATATTTCTTACTCGAAATGCAGTCTCTAATTTCCAGTCCAATTAGAGCTTGAAGTCAATAAATTTTCAGAAACACTATGTTTGAAAAAAAGACCAACCTTTCTGCCTATTGATTGCATTTACGAATTCAACAATTTTCACAGCAAAAAACTACTTTGTTAACTTTATGGATTTGTATACATTACACGTTTGTGTTTTGGTTTTGGTAATATTGGCTCTGAGAGTACTCGGTGTAGATGGTGGAGCGATTCAGGATGTTAAATAGAGGCTCAAGTTTGCTTTGATGTCACAACTAGCTCGTAACTGTGCGTGTTGGTGCTTACAGAGACTGAAGAATGGTGGTCATAGGTGACTTTTTTGATTTGTATACTTTTGCTATCGTATACCCATGTCGTCCGTTGCAAGTTAGTCCATTATGCACTGTGGAAATTATGTCAGTTCTTGGAGAAGCTGTAGATAATCTTTCATGAGATTGGAGACGTGCTTTGGGAGGATGCTCGTGGCAAGATGAGAACTCTAATTCTTCTGAGCTAAAAAAAAAAAAAATGGGATGGTTCGCTGTGGTGTGTAATTATTGCTTTTTTGTCTAGTTTCATTTTGATGTTTATTTTTCATATATTGTTTTTCGTTCTGTTAGGCTTTTGTGTTTTTTTTTTGTATTTTTAGTTGTTACGATTTGTTTGTAGTTTTGTCGATTGAACTGCTTTTTTTTTTGTTGTTGTATCCCTATAACCGCTGCAAAATAAAAATTGGTATAAACTTAACATTTTACCAAAAAAAAATAGCTTCATGTCCTAAGTGTTTATAACACTAAAAGAATTTATGTTATCCAAGAACACTAAAAAATTTTGATCTCTAAGAATTCTGAAACCACCTCCTAGTTTGTTATGGTATGACTTAGTCGAAAATAAGGAGGTGTTTCCAGGATTTTATGACTTAGTCGAAAATAACAACACCTTTATTCGAACGGATAATAAAAGTACTATATAAATAAATAGTTATGGGTAATTTTGGAGAGAAATAGATTTTTTTTAAACAGTTCTTAGATTTCTTTTGAAAAATTTAGACAGATGTTAAGTAATTTTGTGCAATTTGAGATTTGGTAAATAGTTTTTTTTTTAATAATTTTAAAAAAAACGATCCAAACTAATGGCTGTGAATGGTAACAGCTAAAGTGCGGTTTTCAATAACTTTTTTCCTAAAAACGCAAAGATACACCAATCACAATTTTTAATAGATGTTTACGTTTTTTTAAAAAGAACTGTTTGCGATTTCTCAATGCATATAATTACACTTGGACCGCTTTTTTGGTTCCATTGTATTTAAAGAGTGGTTCATCAAATTACGCACTTGGATCAAACAAATATATTTATTAATTTTATTTTATATATTTAATCTCTTATTAATAAAAATTAATGAAAATTTTTTTGCAACACACTGATTTACATATCTTTAGAAAAACAAAAGGATTCTATTCTAACTTACTACCATTGTTTCTGATTAATAAATTAATATAATTAATTTTCATATATTATCATATAATATTAAAATAAGATAATATTTTTTATATTTAAAACATTTTTTATATATCGCAAGTTATTTATATTCTAACTTTTTGTCATCGTTTTTATTTTGCCCAACATCAATTTATAGCTCTAAAAAGTGACACATCAATTATATCTTCTTCAACATGAACAATACAACATAGTTTCTGATCTCAAAAGATGTATTTTTTTTAATAGATTAGTAAAACTAATTTTAATATAGTAACATATAATATTAAAAATAGGTTATGTACTAATCTATTTATAAATGATTAGAATATTTAATACATACAACTTTTTTGAAGTTTTATATGTCACTCTATAAATTTTTGTAATTTTTTCACTCTATAATTATATTATTATATATTTTTTATATTTATCTATAATATGTAATACGCACTGCATTAGTTTTATTCACTATTCAAACATTTTATTGTGGACCGTAAGCTGTTTTTTCACCAATTAAACATTATTGTGTATCGCTTATTATATACAAATCGCACTTGTCCTGCAAATATATTTTTCTGCACGTACCGCAGTTGAACCGTACCACACTCTAAACCGTTTTTCCCGCACAACCAAAAATGCTACTCCCTCCGTTTCACAAAGAGTGTCGTTTTAAGGTTTTATTTTTGTTTCACAAAGAGTGTCGTTTTATATTTTCAATGTAAAATTTTAAACAATATTCCAGTTTTAACCCTATTAATTTAATATATTTACTAGATAAAAACAAATCATTTAATGTATTAATAAGGAACAAAGTTGTATTTTTAATAATTTTCTTAATATGTGTGAAAAATGTCAGAATGACACTCTTTATGAAACGGAGGGAGTATTACCATTCAGATCCAATAATTCGGTTGGATGCTCCTTTTAGTTCAGTGGTTAATAATAAGATTAATTAATTAATGATGTCTACACCCAGAGGTTTCGGGTAGATGCAACT